AAGGGAGAGACCTGGGTTTGATTCGCATGTCTTAAAGCTTATTTTTTTCTAATGAGACTCTTGCATATCCAGTGTGGCCAGGACCCTCACACACATCATGGACTAATAAATCATCACCATTAGATCTATCATCCCCAGATCCAGCGCCCCTGGAAACGCCTTCCCATGATGGACTTGCCTGCCACAACAACACTGAATCCAACGTAGGTTATGGGCCAACAGATATGGGCCCATAGCCTAAATTCCAGCATACCCCTCCAATTGGGTTTCACCTCCCTCTCAGGCCCATTTCTCAATTGTTTTTTTATTCTTTTTATTTAGTTTATATTTTGTTTATTCATTCTTTTTTTTAATCAGAAAATCATAAAATCATCACAAAAAAATTAGGACTTAGTTTTTTATTAATAAATTAATTTTTGCAAATTGATTAATTTTATTAACTTTAAATTATTTTCTTTAATTTAAAATTAATTAGAGAATTAGGTTAAAATTCTAATTTTTTCATAAAATACAAAAAATATTTTTAATGAGCCATTAGATTTTTTAGGGTTTAGAACTTTTTTCCATCTTAATTTTTGCGCGTCATTACTTTTTCCATACGAGTATTTTTTTAATCATTTATGTAACTCCACTCGGTTGTAATAGTTAAATTAAGGTTTTTATTTCCGCACTTTACTTTTCGTCCATTATTTATGTATCTACACCAAAGCCTTGTAATAGCGTAGGAACTTTTATTTCTCGCTTTATGTTTTCTTACATGCTTGTATATAATTGTTAAAAACTTGGGCGTGCATGACAAGATTAATCAATTAACCATTAGATAACTAATCTCAAGAAAAATATATGAAAAAAGCATTGTTGCACACTTGCACCCTTAGGGTACTCCTCACTTGGTTGCCTCGGAAATGGTCATGTCCCTCGAACGTAGGGATATCTTAGCAATTCCCCGAAATCTAAAAGTCATCATAAAGATCATGGTCCCTTAATGTCCCTCGAGTTGCCTACGAGAAATGATCTTGTCCCTCGATGTTTTCTATATAATGACAGTCCCTTTGAACGCTAAGATATCCTTACATGTTGCCTTCAATGACCATAGCGTCCCTTTCGATAGTCCCTCAACATCCGACGATAGGGCTACCTACTCACTAATAATAGGATATCACTATCTAAAGGAAAGGAGGAAAAGAACATCCTTTTTCGAGTAGATAGACAGTTCTTAAGTACTTGCTCAAATCTGAATTTTTCACACTTACACACTTTTCAAACTTCTTTTGAAAAATGCTTTATCACACTCTTGAGGACTGATACAAGAGTTATCATAAAGCAAACAAAAGCTTTCAAAACACACAAACACAAACAGTTTTCAAAAATGAGAAAGTACCTAAGAGCCCGTGGAAAACCACGGATGGAAAGGGTGATAACACCTTCCCTTTCCATAATTTACCCCCTTACTCAGAAAAATATCGAAAAAGGTCTTTTTTCTGTTCTTTTCACCCTTTCCTTTGTTGGATAAAAGAAAATTTGGTGGCGACTCTTGCTTACTGTAACATTTGCAAACAAAAAACACAAACAAATATTAACAGGCAGTTCTCCCACCGTATCACAGAACTGGAGACTCTGTTGGGGAAAAATAAAAGTGGGGTTTACCTTAGGGTCTAGATCATTATGTTTTCTTTGTCTGTTTGTTTACTTTACTTTTAAGGGTACTGTTTGGGTTACTATATATCCTACACCCGGATCTGGGGAAACCTTTTAGGTAAGTAGCAATAGATCATGGAAATTATGCGAGGTATACCAACACGGTTGAAGCGATGGCTACATTGATGCGACACTTTGGTTGGTACCGATATCCCTTGAGTTAATCAAGGAGAATACGGGGCCTCTGTGTGGTGTCATAAAGCGTCAACTGACCTTAGAACCTTAATTGAACAACTTGGCCATTAGTACATAGTGAGATGGTCGTCTTTGGTGTATTCCCAAAGTCGGCAGGTACTCGATGCTACACTCATTGAGATTTGACTCCCGAGTTTTGTTTGGTTGCGAGTCAGTCGCCTATCGAACAAAACTTGTAGGAAAGATCAGTGATATTGAGATCCCTTAGAACCCGGTTACTATTTATAGGACAGTTTGAACCAATCCAACTTCAAGACGGTATGACCTTAAGACCCAAGCAAGCCTTAAACCTCAGGTCTTGGTGGGATTTGCTTGTGCTTGCTATATATGTTATTTCTTAGCATAATCATGACATCATAACATGGCATATCATACTAACCATTTCAAGGATTTTCTAGGGCTTATCTTTGTCTTGTTTTGTAGGACATGACATCCGCTCGCAAGAACATTATCCAAATCAACCTTGTGAAAGTACATCCTCAACTCAAGGAATTAGCATCCAGGATTCCTGAAAGCTCTCCTTTCACTTAAAGACATGGTCGACTTCTCAACTTGGTCACTTCAAACCCTGATGAAGAAATGTTAAAGGTGCTCTTTCAGTTCTTTGACCTGTTGTTGTAGCGGTAAAATCAATGAAGTCGCCACCGAGTATTTATTTATCCCATATGAAATGGAAAGGAAAATCATCGAAGAAAAACCTAAAGGGGGAAATCAAGGTCTTGCACCCGAGAGATTGGGTAAGGGAGTCGATTACGCGAGGGGAAGGTATTAGCACCCCACACGTCCATAGTACTCTACGGGATCCACTCTCGTTATTCTAATCAAAGGGTGTGTTTAATCTAATTCTTAAGGGTTATAAACTAAGAGGGAATGTATGCAAAGAAAATACGGGGAAAAGAAGGAAATGTTTACAAATTTTAGCTCGGTTGAGCCCCGTGACCAGATGCCTACATATCCCTTTTAAGGAATCAGAGCGCCGTAGTTCGGCTCATATATTTTGTTTGTTTGTATTTTTTAAATGAACAATGTTGCACTCGATCATTCCACTGCTGCTCGGCCTTTGGAGACTTATGACCTGTAGTGGAAAGGAGCTAACATGCTCTTAGAAGAGAAAAAGCTGAATGGCGAAAAGAAATGGATTGGTTGGTATTTTTTTTATTATGAAGAGAATTTTTGTATGATTAGGATTTTTTTATATATTTTCCAAGAAAAAGAAGTTTTAGTTTTAAGTGCAGTTATGCAAAAAACGAGAAGAAAACATCTAAGAGAGACTAACCTATCTCTAACCTAATGTTATCAAACAATAAGGGATCCTACCTAAGTTAGCATGCCAAAGAAAATTGAACAAACTATCCTATAGGGAACATGCATTGAGAGCGAAGTCGTGATCTCAATTTCTAAATTGAGTGACTCATCGATCAACAAGAAATAAGGGAAAGCGATAAAATCCTATAGGGAGCATGCACCGAGAGCGAAGTCGTAATCTCAATTTCTAAATTGAGTGACTCATCAATCAACAAGGAAGAAAACAAACACAAGCACAACACATATAAGAAATGAAGTGCGGAATGCCTGCTACAGGTCTTTAAACAGTGACTTCGAGCGCACGCTCTTTATTTCCTACTTCTCATGATATCTAGAAAAGAGATAAATGCGGAAATATAACTTAGAAGCAGTGTAATACCAAACGAACAATGACGTCCGCAAAAAGTGCAACCAAAGTAAAGAAATCCGAGATACTTCACGCGAGCTGGAATCAACAAACAAACAGTCAGAGTTCAAATATTTGGAATAGGTGTCGCAACTTCGTCGATGTGAAAATAAATCACAATCGGAATCCAAAACACATCTGCATATCAAATGATGAACCTGCATAAGACTCAACTCAACAAACAAAAGTGAATCGTAATTTTCAAGTAAAAAAATATTAGGGATTAATTTCCAAAATCACATAAAAGTCTAACAAAGTTTATTGATATCGTAGTTTATTACCAAAAAAAAAACTTCTTAAAATCTATAGATTTTTATTGTTTTATTATATGTATTTTATTACTATTTTTATTACACAAAAAAAAAATCTAAACTAAAACAAAATATACAAAAACAAATGAAGTAGAAGGAGTCAAGGAGGTGCCAATACTAGACCAGGGGGTGTGGCCAGAACCAGGACGCTAAGGCCCATGAAGTAATGTCCATAATGCTGCTTTTGTTTGTAAAACAATAGGCTATCAACAAAAAAGAGTGAATGGGCTTAGAGGGGGGTATGCGCTAAGCCATTAAACTCAAATCCCAATGTTGTTCAGTCTATTCCAAAGTTATTTCATCAGATTTTTTTTATTTAATAAAAGAATTAAAAAAATCTGAAGAAAATAAACAACAATTTATGCGATGCGTTTCGAGAAGAGAGTTAGGGTTCACAGAATCGTGTCTCTTCATCTCCTCAAAGTGAAATCTATTTCCCTCTCATTTCATTCATAGACGGTGCAGACCTTTTCTGATCATCTCTTCGCCTCTTTATCTCATCAACAACACCGCGTTTCTCAACATTCGTCATCGTCTCAACTATTACGAATTATCACCTTCACCACTTTGATCACTGGTCCTTTTTCATCTTACTCTTTTCATTGAATCAACTGAACAAAAAGAACAACATGCACTATGTTACAGGAAGAGATTGGAGAGTGTTACCTACCGGAGAACTCCGACGGCTCTTCACAGCGACGAATACGATGATAAAGCCAAAGAAAAATATTTAGAACATCAGGTACCGATTCCTCACTTCGAATTCATATTCTATCTGTATCTCACCTTCTTCAAATTTCCTCTTCTACTCCATGTTTCTTGCGTTCTGTTACAAGAAGTTGTTGCAGCGTATGAACCTTAAAGGTTGAAGATAGGTCGAAGATAAGAGATGAAGGTTCTGGTTATGGTGATGAAGATGCTTGAAGCAGATATTTCAGAGAGAGTTTCTTTGAGAGATTTTTTGTTTTGGTGATTCTTCTGTGAGATTTAGAATGAATCGTGAAAGGTGAGATTTTTTGTATCTATATTCTGTTAGAATTTGTTAGGCTTGAATAAATCTAAGCCCTGGGATTTAATTGAATCGGTTAGACCAATGGAGGGTGAGGATTGGGATAGTTCTCCTTTTGTTTTGTATTTGATTTAGTTATAGAATTAGTTGAGCTATGATTTAATTTCACAATTTTTTCTCTGAACTGAGATGTCGCTGAACCAAAAATCCAGCTGACTTTGGTATTCTGAACTGGTTTATTGTTTTCTGCATGGCTATTTCTTTGTACATCAAGTGCTGGTGTCCAACACATTAAAGAAATATGAAGTTACAACGGAGCATGGTCATTTGGAATGTGAACCCATTTAGAATAGGTTCAGAACAATAGGATTCTCGTATGTAATCTTCATTTGTGCAATGTTCATAATGCCTTGAATGTATCTTGGTGAATGCATCTTGAAATCTCTGTATGGACTTTATATACTTGAATGAAATGAAATTTGATTGGAGAACCATCTTGAATCACTTTGAGTTCTGGATGATGAATTATGAGTGGTGTTTGATTAATAATGAACTTGAATGGTGATACTATAACTTGCCATTTCTTGCTGATGATCTTCAAGTTCTCAAATCACCATTCCACTTGAACTTTGCTTAACTAAAGCGATGTAAGGAAACATCTCTTTTCCTTCAAATGAATTTGAACTTTCAAGTCCTTACTATCAATAAGGTCAAGAATCAACATTTGGCTTAAGAACGATTTTGGTCCAAAACCTTTTGGAAATAATCCAACTCAATTGATGCAGAACTCCATGTCCAAACTCCTATTTTTGAATGAAGTCCTTCAAAAAAAAACATAGCATCCCAAGTAAAATGATATCAACCTCAATGAACAAAACCCGCTTAACTCTCAACCCCAAGTGATATCAAGTATGTCGTCTGACTAAACAAACTTGTAGAGAAGTAAAACCTCACAAAAGAAACTCCATGGCCATCACATTAATGAGGAAATAAACCCTAATTCACATTATACTTGAAAACTTGTATAAGAAACATCTCAATCCATAATTCACAAGAATTCCACGTTTATCTTAAATCAATCCTTAATGTAACTCAAGCGTTCATGAAAAGTCGAACTCAGTTGTCTTCAAATGGCATGCTTGGTCAATGAACCTTAATCTCAATTGAATCCATAAATTCTAGTCATCTTTCATTTGAAACAACCATCTTTCATTTGATAAAATGATCTAAATAAGCTCCTGGCCCTATCTTGAATCAACCGTTAACAAAGTCATGAACTTAATAAGCCCTTGAATCAATATTAACTCTGAGCACGATTAGAAGTTTCAACTAATCCAAGTCACTAGTTATTCCTCTCAATAGTCCAAGTTAACTTGCAATTGAAGTAACAAGTATTTGATGAGAACCAAAAACTGTATCATTCAAAACAAGTCCACAATGTTGAAGAAGGAGAAGCTCAAGATAACCACAAGATCGAGCCCCAATCCAATGATCCCTAGTTGAAGCATAACAAAAGAAAACCCTAGCATATTTCCCTGCTTGTTGAAGAAGCAGCTTGAATCTCTTGGATAAAGATAAGAGCCTCAGAGCCTTAAACAAACCCTAATCCTTAGAAATCTTTGATCACATGCCACATTTTATTGATTAACGAATGAACGGTGTGTTAGATGACCTAATGGAGTTATGTACATGAATCTCACTTAAATTCACAGATTCGAGTCATTTTGCATTTGAAGCGGCTAACTTCCATTTGATGAAATGAGCTGGATGAGCTCCTAACCCATAGCTTACCCAACGGTACATATCTAAACTTGACAAAACTCAAAGAAATCTTTCAGTAAGGGAAGAGTAGCACTCAATATAGCCTTGAAGTGAGACTTTAATCCAATAAATCTCTATAGAAGAATCATCACCAAGCTCAAACAAAATGAAGAGAAGTCCTGATTCTCTGGCTGAGTTAGGCCCTAATACCTTCGTTCCTTGAAAGAACCTTGATGAAAAAATTTGTATCTTGAGGAAACCTGATAGCGAAGACATTTATGCTGCTTGAGATCCAAAACCCTAATCTCATACCAAGAAAAATGAGAGCGCCAGCTGAATCAATTTTGAGCAAGATGACAGCCTCCATTCAAAGAGAGAAACCCTAATGCCAAAGTGCTTCGATCTTATAACCATGAGACCAATGCTATGCGCGAAATGTACAAAGTATGATGAGGGATCTTAGGGGGAAATTTGGGGTACAACAGTTGCACCACTGCTTCACTTTTCTGAATTACCAGTTAGTGCCTACTATGGAACAATTTTCTCAGTTATTGGGGGTACCTATCCTTAATCAGCTACCATTCAACGGTATGGAAAGAGACCCAAAGCCTAAAGTGATTGCTCAAGCTTTGTCTTTACAACAGTCTGATATAGTGGCAAATTAGGAAAACAGAAGAAGTGTCCAAGGATTTCCAGCTAAGTTTCTATTTGAGAAAGCTCACCATTTTTGGGATACCCTGGATTTAAAGGCTTTTGAAGAAGTGTTGGCCCTTCTCATCTACGGGATGGTGTTATTCCCTAACACAGACCACCTCGTAGATGTGAATGCGGTTTAGGTTTTTCTGTCTCGTAATACAGTGCCTACTTTACTTGGGGATATTCTACACTCTCTGCATACTCGCACTCTAAAGAGAAGAGGAACCCTTATGTGTTGCACTCCTCGATTGGATAGGTGGTTTATTTCACACCTACCCCGGTCTGTTTTGAGAAATGAGTAAGGTATGAGATGGTCTCATAGGTTGATGTCCCTTACACATTCGGATATTCATTGGTGTTCCCAGTCCTTGGAAAGTATCACTATCATTGATCGCTGTGGGGAATTCCCTAATATCCCTCTCTTAGGCATTAGGGGAGGAATCACTTATAATCCTTGTTTGGCGTTGTGACAGTTTGGTTATTCTATAAGGTATGGTCCTCACGACACACTCGTCCAAGAAATCACATTTGACTATGAGAATGATGTTCAGGGTTATCGTAAGAGGATCATTTGAGCTTGGGGCATGATAAACAGAGTTGATAGCAAGACACTAGGGAACAAGAATTCCATCCCTCTTGAGCCTTACCTCAAATCATTGTGATCCTGTGCTCAATGTCTTATGATTCCTTACCCCGCCATCTTACCTGTGGTTATGGAGCCAATTGCTGAGGGAGACACTCCTTATATTGTTCTTCATCCTGACTTGCCAACTGATCTTGAGGAGCTACGGAAGTCCTGGATCCAACTCAAAGAAGAACGAGATACTTTTGAAACCCAATTCTACACCAACGAGAAGAAGGTCTTGGAGCTCACTCGGTTACTTCACGAAGAAAAGAGTATGAATGCTTACATTGCACCAAAGAGGATGCGCCTGTGGGAAGCCTGAGGCTTCTTTTACTTGAAGAGTTTTGTTTTTGCTTTGTTCCCTTGTGAGCCCAAGAGGCATTATTATGATCAATAAAACTTCTTAATGCATTTAACTTTTGTTCTCTTTCTGTTTAAGCAAATTTGAGCCTTAGAAATCCTTGAAAACATTGCATACATATATCATACATATCATTGCATAAGCAGGTTTCATAGCAGGTTTCTCATCTTCTACGCTGTTTATTTCAGCAATGGCTCTCGAACAAACAGTGAAATATCTACATACTCAGAATGCTCAGTTTCAACAGATGATCATGGAACTGGACAAGGGGAAAGAGAAACTGAAAGCCCTGATTGTCAAAGACAAGACTAAGAAGCCAAGGAAGACAGCTGGTGTGGTGAACTTGGGAGGAGATTCAAAGGACCGCTAAGGCAAGTGGTTGAGCTGACATCTTCATCAAGAGAAGGAGAAAATCAAGAAGGGGAGACAAGAGAGGAAGACCCAATTCCATGGGAGTATGATAATGAGATTGACTACAATGAAGAGAAATACCCTCCGGTCGACGAAAATACAAGCAGCTGGAAGAGCGTTTGAGTGAAATGGAAATCCAGAAGGTGTCTGGGTTGGACTTTGGAGATCTGGGTTTGGTTTTTGGGGTTGTCATCCCGCAAAAGTTCAAGGTTCCAGTGTTCGCCAAATATGATGGGGTTTCATGTCCCAAGATGCACCTCTGATCTTATGTGAGAAAGATCCAGCCTCACACTGCTGACAAGGACTTATGGGTCCACTTCTTTCAAGATAGTTTGTCTGGAACTCAACTAGAATGGTTCTACCAGTTGGAAAGGAGCAACATTCGTAATTAGGAAGACCTGGCTGCTGGTTTCTACAAGTAGTATTAGTATAATGCAAACCTTGCTCCCACCCGTACACAACTCCAAAGTATGTATATGGGTTTGAGCGAGGGCTTTAAAGATTATGCACAGAAGTGGAGGGACTTAGCAGGAAGACTCCAGCCTCCCCTGTTTGATAGGGAGCTAGTGGATATGTTTTTGGGTACCCTATCTAGTCCATTTTTCAATCATCTGATTGGAAGTTCCTCAGCTTGCTTCACTGAATCGATTTTGATAAGAGAAAGAGTGGAAGATGGAATTAGGAGTGGGAAGATTCAAAAGGATGCATCCTCCAGTGCGGTAAGGAAGCCATTTTCTGGTAAAAAGGAAGTCAGCGCCACATATAGTCAAAGGAATCAGGACAGAACTGAATAACGTCCAGCGATAGGGGCTGTTATGATCTCTAAACCTGCACCTACTCAACAAAGGAATAATCAGCCTAGAGTAGAAAGGCCGATAAGATAGTTTACCCGGATAAATATGACTATGTCTCAAGTCTTGCCTCATCTACTGAAGTCTAATCTGGTAACTTTGCGGGAAGCTCCGAATAATCCTAATACTGCCTCTCCCCGCTACAATCTAAATTCTCGATGTGCTTACCATTTAGAAAGTCCAGGCCATGATACCAATGACTGTTGGGCTTTGAAAAACAAGGTGCAAGACCTTCTCGAGGCGAAGGAAATTGAATTTGACGCTCCCGAAATTCCCAATGTTATCACTACTCCTATGCTCAAGCACGGTTGTGGTGTTAATGCTATTGAAGATGATATGTTTGTTACTGCTGTTGAAGAACTTGTTACTCCTCTCCTGACCATTAAGTGGAATTTGTTGAAAGCCGGTTTATATCCTGGTTGTGGCGAAGGTTTCCACTTATGTTTATCTCTACCGACTGGTTGTCATTTGTTGAAGGCATGTGTTCAGCGCCTGATAGATGATAGAGAGATTTTGTTTGAGAAGACTCCCGTCCCGACTATTTATTGCAAGGATGTTTCAATCATAACCATTTCCTCCAATCCTCC